GCTGAACCCAACACCACTGCCGCTGGCTGAGCACTAGCATAAATATTTAATGTGGAGAGTCTAATAAGTAATTCTTCCTCTGTTTTTCAGAAATGTGTTACAGATGAGTGTTTCTTTTTTGAACGACTGGAATCTAATAACTACAATACTTACCGGTCCAGAAAGTACTCCAGCTGGTATGTGGCACTGAAACGAACTGGGCAGTATAAACTTGGATCCAAAACAGGACCTGGGCAGAAAGCTATACTTTTTCTTCCAATGTCTGCTAAAAGCTGATTTTAATGGCACTGCATCTAATCTCATTTCCTATGAAAGAACGAGTATATTTTAGAAATTTGTTAATGAGAGAAAAAGAAATTGTGTACAGCTTAGTTTGGATAACTGGTCAGACAGCTTTTTAACCTAACAGAAAAATATTTAACCAATGCCTCAGAAAAGAATAACAAAAATTCTTGGACAATGCCTAGATTTCCCCTGTTGTATAGCATCTGCTGTTACCAGTGAAGCTTACCTAGGGCCACGTTTTTCCATATATTTGCTTTATTTGAAAAGAGGCATTTAAAATGTGCAAATTTATAAATACATTTTCTTCATGGAAATGATAAACATTAGAAAATCAAGGCAAATATTTAATCAATCCCAAATGTTCAGTACTTCTTATAATATGGCATGTGCTAATCTATATGTATAATTTTAAAATGTGTAAATGTGAATTTAATCCATTCCTGTCATGGTTTTGTAATTCTCTGGCAGTTCCTTGTGATAGAGTTTATAGAACAGGCCTGTGTAAACTGCTGGAAGTTCTTCCATGGTCAGATCAATCTTGTCAAAGCCTTCTCTGTGCCCATAGAGCAGCAGCCTGGCCACTCTGCTGGTGATGGGAGTGGTATCTGCAGTCTTGGCCAGGTCTTCGAGATCCATCCACTCGCATCGTAAGCACTCATGCTGGCAAAAATTTATGGTGAATGAGCACGGCCTCAGGCGGCAGATGACATACATATCTGACTTCCCAAAAGCTCCAGGACTGGCGTGCTGTTGCCGAATACTCAGCAGGGACCTGAATTCTGATTTTATACCAGTCTCTTCGAAAACCTCTCGAACCGCTGTGTCTCCTACACAAGAGAGACGTACAAATCAATCAGGATCAGTTTTTAGAAACATCAGTGATGTTCAGTTAAAGTCATATTTGAAAGCTAAAGAAAAATATTAACCTAAGAAAGTAAAATTTTCATTGCAAACTTTCTGCCTTCTAGACATTCTGAAATATCAGAGTATTTCCTTAACCTTGAACATTTAAGAAGAGTTAAATATAATTGAGTACTTCTCTGACTCTAGTTGGAAGTTAACCTCTTATTGTGTTTCCCAAAAGGTGAAAACAGGCGCAAAAGTTAAAACAAGTGTTGTAAAGCTGCATTTCATCATCTATTTCTTCATTACTGTTTTGTTTCTGATCATCCATCAAAACTAAGATTCTTTTTTTTAAAGAAAACTTTTTTTAAAATGCAAAACCAAATTTTATTTAGAACACCTCTAATTTTCTGATTATGCAGAATTAGTACTTATTTTTTAGTAAAGTGAACAAGTAACATTATGCCAAAACCTGTTTTCATTTAAGGAATAGAGTCAAACAAGCTGACAAAATTGACCCATCTTAAAGAAAAACTGTTGAGATTGGCAGTAGGATCAGCTCTCCAGCACACAGAGGGCAACACCTGCTGCACAGCGACCGTTAGTGAAGGAGCTCACGGCCACGAATACGTAGGCACGCCTGCCTGAGTTTACACGCTGGCATCGAGAAAGTGGCTGCAGAGCTGCAGAATGTGTTGACCTGTGAAGTGATTCTCATCGCTCCTGGTGATGCCAGGTGTCTGGTGTCCCAGTCACAGCCCAGATTCCTTTATAACCAGCTTGTTTTGCTCCTTTAATTATGCTGTCAGGGAAGTCCTATCATAGTGATGTTTAAATTTCCTTTCTTTATTGAGAAAATCCAAAGTATTTGGACTCATTCTTCAACACCAAAATGCTATAGTTGTTTCATTGGAAGTTTCCAAAAAACTTGGAGTATAAGGAATTCTATCGTACAACAAGGTTTTTCACATTTTATAATAATGATCTTCCAATTGAATGCTGGCTTCGATGGCAGGATTCGTACTGCCATTAACATGTTTGTGGCTGTCTTTTTTTAATGAGAGAGAAGAGAGGGAGTTGAGCATTTTTTGACAGGGTCTCCTACTCCAACCTTCCCATCAGCAAGGACCACAGTTCATACCTGCTATATCCAACCTCAAGTACAGACTGAGCACGGAACTGGACCTGGGCCTCCCGTGAGGCTATTTTTCTAAACATCCAGGTGGACCCCTGAGTGGCCTTTCCCTAACTTTGTGATGCTCTGCCATTCTCCTGAAACATTTATGAGAAGTCCTTTAAAACGCTGCTATTCCTTGACCACCGTGCTGGGAAGCTTCGCCATGGCCACAGAGATTTTTGTTCAAATACCCTATGATGCCTCCATTGTTCTTGTGTGTCAGTAGTAAGTGAAATTTTCTTCTGGGTAATCCTACTAGAAAAAAATTAGCAGGAGGGACCAGTAGGTGGCATCATGGTTAAAGCACTGGATTCCCACAAGGCTGACAACAGTTCAAATCCTAGACCTGGTTGCTTGCTTTCTCACTCTTTCTGGTGAGAACACATGCCCTATAGCCAATTAAAACAAAATACTATTAATCAATAAAATAATTCTTTTAAAAAAAAAAAGGAAAGAGTCACAGAAAAATGTCTTAATCTCTGCTCTGGCTATAGACTGTTTTACCAGTCTACCCTGCATACATTTTTTTTTTTTTTCCCTCTAAGAAACGGCCCGGGGAAGATGCACAGGAAGAATAAAGTGTTTTAAGACATTTATCTGCCATTTTTCAATTACATGTTAACTTTCTTTATATCTGAGATCTGTCCAAAGACCAAAATGGTTAGAAATTACATTTTTAAACTGAAGCATAAAAGAATCTAAGTTAAGGAAAGACAAACTTACTTTAATAAGAAATGTAAAATTTTAATCTGACATACAAAGAATGTCTTAATAAATTTGTAGTGAAGGATTGTGGCACTAGTCTTAAATTTCATATAGTGTCTGTAACTATTGTTCAGATGCTTATTTTTAATTTTTAAATGCTTTAAAAATAATCATGGGAGCCCTGTTTAGCTCTTGACTGCCACTAAAGAGTGGCAATTAGCCCATGAGTGGAGGCTGTTTATATGCCATAGCAGCACAGGCCCAGGCTACTGAGTGAATCCGCCCCACTGCTCCTCACAGTAGCAGGTGACTGCCAATCAGCTCTGTGTGAGTGTTAGCACTAAATAGACTGCAAGCTGAATGTGCAAATGTGCTTTTATATCCAGCGTGTGGGAGACTCCTTCTACCCCAAGATGGAACTCTCTTCCCCAGGAATTTCAACATCAATTTTTTTTTTTTTTTTTTTTTTTTTTAATTTTTGCTACACAGTGCGTGTGTATGTGTGTGAGTGAGAGCGAGAGCAAGAGAGTGCTCCCGAGGGGAGGGTGGCCTTGCTGCATTACCTTCTCTTTCACTCTCCTCTGGGATTTTGGGCATCTCTCTGTATACATGTGTTTTTCAAGCCACTAGGTCTGGAACTCAAACTATATACTTGGCCATGTGAGATCCAGCTGCCTTAACCACCTTGCTACCAGCTGACCCAAATTTAAATTTTTAAATCAAGATAAAGTGCTTTATTCTGTTGTACCATTTTTATTTTAATATGCTATGAGCAAAACAAATGACATTTCCTGTTTTATAGGTTGAAAGAACATAGGAAGAACTAAGAGGATTTTGTTTTTATCTTTGTTAAGAGATATGTTTAAACATGCCACATCATTTAGTTATAGGACGATAATGAAATGGAGTTTATATTTGTTATTTCTATTTTGTCATATTTAAAATAGGATTAGGATGAAATAATAGAAAAAATTGTGCAGAACGTGGGTTTTCTGGTGTTGCCCTCTAACCAGTGCACTGGTCACTGATCACACTCGGCTGCTTTATGAAGTTCTTTGGCTACTGCAGGAGATCCTATTTCCTGTCAGTGGTCAGGAGTTTTTTTTTTTTTTTCTTTTGAGTAATGCAGTTTCTCCATTTTAACTTTGTAGGTATATAAGTTTCTTTTGAGTAATGCAGTTTCTCCATTTTTTCTTTGTAGGTATATTTGTATTCTTATGGTATTATTTTATACTAAAGCCTTGAGGATTGCATTCTGTTTTGTATAGGACCCGCTTAAGTTTTTTCAACACTATGGATAATAATGCTTCATCTACCTAGTATTGCAAAGAAGGAAGGATTCCAATCAAATGTGTTTTCCAGTTAAACTAGTGTTTGTTATTTAAGTGCTAATATTAATATGTAACCATTCATAATGGCAATATTACTAAAGTATACTGCATACATTCTGAAATACAGGGTTTAAAGAAAATCATTTAACTAACTCCTGGATGATCTGGCTTCATCACTAACAGTACCTGCTAGAGCTGTGTTATAACACAGGACTGTCCTCATACAGTCTTTCTGACCTCTACTGTGAGTTACATTTCTATAATTCCATATGACCAAAGCATATATATGATCACTGGATCTGTGGGTTGTTGTGACAACTGCAAATACTTAAAAAAAAAAATAGAGAACTTAAATTATCTAGACTTAAGGGCTCTAGAGTTTACCTAAACATAAAATTATACATATTTGGCTTGGAAATATCTTTCTTCAATTATATCTATATATAAATGTATGTATATATCTGAAATTCAGAACTTTTAAAAATTCAATTAAAAAAATTTATTTGAGAAGGCAAAATTCAGAAGAAGCTACACAGATCTTCTGCAGACTGTTTTTGGTGCAATATAAATCGGGTAAGGATGCAAAACAATCTTAACTAGCTCACACATTTTGACATGTCACAAATGGACAGTAAAATAATTAGGTGTTATAGAAAGATGACCTTCTTTTGCATCACTACAAAGTCATCTTTTCAGAAATTTTATTTACTGCTTTCAAGAGTGAAAGAGAGCCTCGACAGGATCTTGCTACTCTGTGATGCTTTCCCAGCCTCCCAATAGCCAGCGTCATGGGCAGACTCAGTGTGTTCAGGTTCACCTGAGCTCTGAACCCAGGCCTCCTGTATGGCTCTAGTATCGCACAGCAGCACCATAGTCCCCGTGCCACTGTGGATGGGCCATAAAACTCTCCTTTGTGTCAACAGACCTAGCAGAATCTTAACCAAAAGGTCAATCAATACCCAAAACCAAGATTTACTATAGATATATCTTTTTTTTTCTTTTTTTTTATTTCTGCTTGTGTCTTTATTATTTCCTTTCTCCTGTTTAAAGAAAGATTTTGGCTATAGGGTATGTGCACTCGCCAGAGAGACAGAAAACAAGAAATCATCTCCCAAGAGGGATGGCCATGCCACAATCCCTTCTCTTCTGGTCTTTGGTCAGGATCTTGGGTATGTATGCACACAAGCCTGGTGTCAATTTTAAGCCACCAGGTCCGGGACTAGAACTGCAGTCAACAACATGGGAGTCCAGCAATTTAACCATTATGGCATCTGCTTGTCCCACTATAGATATATCTTTTTATTTTTATTTTTTTATTTTTATTATCATCATAATCTTCTTTATATTACATTGGATTACATATAACTTTACAGTGTATTACATTGTTTTTTCAAAAGGGAATGCCATGCATGTCAGTCAGTACAGAGACATTAATCTCCCCACTTCAACATTCCATATCTTTTCTGTTTTCCCCAATCATTATTTTTATTATTCTAATTATTTTTATAAAACAGTCAATTGCTATTTCTCATTTTGCTTGTAAAAATACTTTGCCCATCATGAAATACTTCTCAGACCAATCCAGTTGAGAATACTATACATGTCATCATCAACAGTTAATAAGCCCTATCTGTTTCTCACTAACGTCCTGTCTCTCTATTGTTCACTTGCTATCTTTCTCTATCCTCTTCTCTTCACTTACCCCATTCCACACTGTCCTATTCTCATTAAGTACCTTCACTGTTTTTATGTCCTCCGATTTTTTGCTCTCTATCATAGAGTGCGGATAGTCGGTATATATTGAGTGAATACATACAATATCTTTCTTTCATAGCCTGGCTTACTTCACTCAGCAATAGATCCTCCATATCTGACCATTTTCTATCTAGATATATCTTAATAAAATCAATTTACTCATGGACCATCAGCAGTTGGCTGTATAATGTCTATAGGGCATTATGATCTGTGCAACATTTTTAAAAATCAGGTTCCAAGTGCATATACATTTTAATATTTAAGACTATTTAGAGAATTGCCTTATTATAATTGATGGGTAAAGAGAATAGGGATATGTGTATTGAAAAGGTGACAAAGAATTATATAACCGTTGCTCTATAACTGAATTTATTATACTTATTTTCAAATGTAACTTAAAGTTACTGTCCACACTTCTATAATGGAATGGCAAAAAAAAATTGTGTTTTCTTCTAGTTTAATTTGAACAACTTTAGTCATACCTGAAATAATTCTTAGTGCCAAATTTTGATGTATATCCAGAGCGTCTCCTTTTCAGACAAACACACACACACAGACACAGTCCTAAACAGAGTAAGTGGCATTCTCTTAATGGTATTATTTACACTAATGGAATAAGTTCTAATGTTACAAATTTTGCTAAGTTTATATCCGCCCAGAACGACTTTCTCTGAACATTTCTTAGTCTGAACCAATTAAAAAATTTAAATTCTTATTTTTAGCTGTAGACCAAGAAAAAAGCCCATGAATTTCCCAGTGTTTTCCAAACCAGTTAAGAACATGTAAGATACGCACCAATATCTTCCCCAGGCTCTGACAAGCCTCCTGGAAACTTCCACATATTTTTTGACTGCAGTATAAAATCAGAAAATAAAATTAACAGGCAGGTCTTCACTAACACACATACATGCACAAACTCCACAGAATTCACTCATAATTGGGCAAGGTGGTGGAGAAGTCATTTTTTGGTAATTTCTGTCTCTCTGGCGAGTGTACATACCCTGAAGTCATTTTTTTTTTTTTTCTAGCTGCTGCTTTAATCTTTTCTGGAGGAGCTAGTGACTAATGAAATCTTTTACTACTTTTTTCTTCATTAAATAGAAGTAGTTTTGTTTAGTTAATGTGATAAATTCTGTATGGATGAAACATTGGAGAGATCTATCTACTGAATATGTGTAATTTAAAAAATTTCGCTGCTAGTTAACTATGAATAGATGAATCTTACAGATGCTGCTATAAATAAGTAGGAAAATACAATAAAAATATAATCAATGAAGTATGCTATTTTTAATTTTCACATCTACTTGTTATTGTGTTTCTAATCAGATTTATTACTCTTAAAATTTCTATTCTCCTGTATGTTAATGATTTTTTGTAAGAATGCAATTGCTTTTCATGGGTAGTGTGAATAAAATTGATTAGTTTGTGTTTTCTTGTCTACCTTTTTTTATTGGTGGGGAGGGCCAAGTGGGAGGATCTGATCTTGAATAGAGATAAACACAGAAGGAAATAGATTAAAGATAATTATGAGATGGTATGGGACAATATTCTTAAGGCTGACATGATTATTTTTGTCTTATTAGAGTTCTTTTGGGTCATCAGAAAGTTCATGATGCATTTTTGCATAGAAAAACATGTCATGGAATTTCTGACAACCCAATATTGTATCCATTACCATGATAAAAACAGATGACTGACAAATTATAACACTCGTAGGGGAGGCTGCACCTTTAGCCAGTACACTTCATAGTCTTCATTCATAAAACAAATTGGTTAACCTTCTACTGGTATGCCTTGTGACCCACTCATTTCCGGGATGAGTGCTTCTTAAAGACTGTGTCACTTCTTAACTATGCTAGGTTGGAGGCCAGTGGCACGGTTCCCAGAGTTTCCACAGACTGTTGATTATGTGGGTGCAGGATTCAGGCTTTCCACCCTTCCACGTCTGGCTCAAGCTTCACGTTAATTTGTAAAGCACATTATGTTTTATTGATGCAGAGAGATATCTCGTAAGTATTTTTTTATATTAATGCTCTGTCCTTGGAGTCTATTCTGAAATGGTTCTAGAAGCCTTGTTTCTACAGAAACTCTGCGATCTTCTATCTGGTAAGATGTTAGAGTTCACTGTAAATTCTGTTTCTAGCCAAATAAATGTTATTATGGGGCAGACAGATGCTTCCTAAAAACAATAAAAGTCAATTTTTGAGATCTTTACCTAGACTTGACTTTTAATGATTGATGATTGACTGTTGTTTAAATTTGGAAAAAATGAACTTACAAGAAAGAAGAAACTGCTACATATAAGGATTGAAACTGGCTCATACAAATTTGATTTTTATTTCATAAGTTAAACCATATGTACACACATACGGATTAGGTATCCTTTTTTTTTTTTTTTTTTTTGAGAGGTATTTGCTATAGGGCGCGTGTGCTCACCAGACAGATATAGAGAGACAGAAAGCGAGAAATCACCCCCAGGGGGATGGCCACACCACAGTCCCTTCTCCTCCATTCTCCTCTCAGGATCTTGGGCACGCACGCACACGCACCTGGCGTGAGTTTAAGCCACCGGGTCCGGGACGGGAACTGTGGTTGACTATGTGGGAGTCTAGCGACATAGCCATTACGCTAACTGCTGGTCCCCAGATTAGGTATCTTTTTATGCCGGTAAGTAGTTTGTAACATTTCTGGCACCACTTAGGTTGAAAGAGATTATTTTTTAAAATCTACCCCCCAAAAATTTGAGCCTGATTTCTATGTGGTAGTGAAAATGCTACATGGTTTGAAAAAACTGGCTAATGTTCTAGATATGATAAACAGTGAAATGGGCATGTTTTCCTGCTCTTTTTTTTTCCTTCCTTTTATTAAAACCTCCCATTAGTGGGACCAGCAGATGGCGTAATGATTATGCCACTGGACTCCCATGTAGTTGGACTCCCGTGTAGTTGACTACAGTTCAAGTCCCAGGCCTGGTGGCTTAATACTCATGCCGGACGCATGTCCATGCGTGCCAAGGTCTCAAGAAGAGAATGAAGGAGAATGGATTGTGGTGTGGCCATCTCCCCCGGGGAGTGATTTCTTGCTTTCTGTCTGTCTCTAGTGAGTGCATGTGTCCTATAAAAACGAAAACTCCCATTAGCTGGGTTTATTAGCAGTGTAACAATACTAAAATACTAGCCAGTGTATGCTGAATGCCTCTGTTCCAGAGACTAGTTTTTATTAGAATTATATACATATAGAGATATAACAATATTTGAAATACCAGTTAATATATGTGGAATGCCTACCATGTTCTGGACACTGTTTTTATAAGAATTACACACATTTGAACTTTACAACAGTCTTATGAGGGACTATTACTGTTCCTATCTTAGAAGTAATGAAACTGAGGGCATAAAAATGCTTAATAACTTGTCTGGGGTCAAAGAGCTAGCGTGTGATAAACTAGAGGTTAAAATCCATGCTGTATGATTTTAACCATCTTTTAAGGAATTTTAAAAAAGGTGACTTCCTATTTTCTTAGTAACCCCTAAATACTGCCCACTGCTTTTCATTATGTTGTCTGATCTTTCTTGAGCCCTAACTGGAACAGTCTACGCAAATCCAGTCAGAACCTCTACTGCTTGTGAGTTGGATTAAAATCTAAATCAGTGTCAAATGTCCTTGTAAATTCCTCTTCTAGAATCTTCTGATTGGCATGGAATTTATTACCTGTCTAGTAAGTTATTTATTCTATTTTTCCAATATATTATTTCATGAGGAAAAAATGACTAAGGATGGGTTTTGAAAATGTAGTCTTTCTGAGCTTGTGTTTTTCATCTCCCTTTCCATAAAAAAAAAGACAATATCTTTATCCCTCAAGTGTAAAATTCTGTGATCTTTTTTATTTTTTCCCTTAATCTTAAAAGAGGAACTTTCCACTCTCTTCTAAAAGAATATTCTTCTCAAATGTTCCTGTGCCTGGTTGCTTTGCTGGGTGTTACTCAACATTCATATACAATATGTGGCACCTCCCCGCTTGAAGTGGTGAGACTATCTAGTTCCTTGAGTATATCTAAGTTTTACATACTACGAAAGCTGAAGGCTCCTTTTAACGTATGAAAATATGTGACTTAAATGGAATGACTGGAAGGTATAAAAGCACAGAGAGCAATGGTGAAACTGGAGACAGTGTGGACACCTCCCACACTGGAAATGGGGGAGGGTGAGTGGGACAGAATCAAGAGGAAGAAAGAAGCAAAACATTTAAGGGACCCAGAATGGAAAGACATCTGATTATAATGTGTATGGCAGTATCTGTGACTGGATGATACGCAGTGTATTCAGAGTGGGAAAATGCATTTGGTATGCTATAAGGATACGCGGTAATTGAATGTCAAAAAAATTTTTTGGAGTCATTTCATCATACTTTGGAATGGTAAGTGGAATGACAAATTTCCTTATACATTAATTTGCCAATTGTACATCTAGTGTTTGTGTGTGGGTATGCGCGCGCATGTGCACATGTGTAGGGATAAATGGAAAATAGGAAACTTTGGATGATGTGTTTTCATCTATCACTCTGCAATTCTTCCTTCCTCAGTGTTAGCCCAAGAAACAGGCCATTTTGGGTGCCAACAAAGGATAAATTTTCTAATGCATTTTTCAGAGATATTAAGAGAATGTAAGCATACTCTCTCTGTTAAAGTGATTTCAAGTTTAATAGCACTGTTTCTTTATTTTTTGGAGAGGTTTTTGCTATAGGAAAGACAGAGACAGAGAGACAGAAAGCGAGAAATCACCCCCTGGGGGGATGGCCACACTGCAACCCCTTCTCCTCCATTCTCCTCTCGGGATCTTGGGCATGCACGCACATGCGCCTGGTGTGAGTTTAAACCACTGGATCTTGGACTCAAACCACGGTTGACTACATGGGAGTCCAGTGACACAGCCAGTATGCTAACTGCTGGTCCCCAGCAATTTATAAAACAGAAGCGAGTTACCTTATTTCGATCTTGTACAACCAATATTTTTCTAGTATTTTCATCAAATACAGCTCCTGTTAGGGGAAAAATAAGAATTGAGAAATATTATTTTCATTCACCTTAGACTCCTCCTGCATTGTGTTTTAAAATCTTTAATTTTTTAAAGATTTCTTCCATGAGCAAGAGAGAAAGAGAGTGCAAGTGAAAGATCTGCAACATGGTCCTGATGCCATAAGCAACCCTCAGTTACAGCCAGCCCCGGATCTTGCTCAAGGAGGTCTCTGGACACAAACCTAGACCCTTCCCATGTGGGTTGGCCTGGGAGAGCTTTGTTACCACAGTGCTGCCGCCTAGCCTGTGGTCCTCAAAATCTTACCCATACGTGAAGGCCTAGCTCAAATACCACTTCATCCATGAAGCCACTTCAAATTCTAGTTATTCTTCAAGATTGGTCCAGTTCCACCTCTCCCATTCCCTGAACTCCTCTGGCATTGCTAAATTGCAATGCACAATACAGCTCTTAGTTATGAATAGGCCCTTCATAGGATGCTCTTTATGCGTGTGTTACCAATTGGGCAGTACTAACTGGAGTCTCTAACTTACACGTCTGTGCCAATGGGTGACAGTTATCTGTATGACTTTCCAACGAAGTGTGAGGCTGTCACTAAGTTACTGAGTAAAATCTTTTGAAGTAGAGCTGGATGAAAAGTTTCTCACGTCTCTGCTGTGACAGAGGAGTAAGACCACAGACAGAGAAGACATTAGACATCCTTGAACAGTTTCTCTAAGGTAGTTCAGCTATGTTCTATTGTATAAGTGTAAATAGTAATATATGTGAGGACTTCAAAAAGTTCATGGAAAATGAAAAAAAAAAATGGAATTCCATGCATATTTTTTCCTGATCTATATTTCTCATGAGCTTTTTGAAAACTGCTTATATATTTCCAACTAGTAAAAGAATTTTGAATGTTCTCACCACAAAGAAATGATAAATGTCTGAAGTGATGGGTATGCTAATTTTCTTGATTTGGAATGAAACATCACACTGTACCCCATTACTATGTACAATTACTGTTTGTCAACTAAAAAATTAAAAAGGCTGTAGATGTACAGATTACCGTAAACATTCTTACAAATAATATGAAGGTAAGTGAGATTCTTAATTGTTAAAATCATTAATATGTATTGTTGCTTTCAAGGTCATAAAGATTCACTACTTTTTTAGTTTTTCTGAAAAAATCTAATAATTTACCTAATGCTGATTCTCAAAAGGTGGTCCTGAGACCAGCAGTATCAGCAGCAACAGCAGAAACAGTCACGAGGAAATGATCAGAAATGAAAATTCTCAGGCCTTAACCCAGAGCTGCCAGATTGGAGATTTGCTTTAAAAGGCCCTGCAGGTGGGTCTGGCCCTCTAGCCCAGTGGTTAAAGGAGCTGGATCTTATGCGGGTGACCACTGTTCAAATTCTGGCTTCAGTGACTTGAAAAACACACCGGGCATATGTGCATGTGTGCCCCAGATCTCAATGAGATGGAGAAGTGGGGAGAAAGGACACCTTTCCGAAGTGTGCTTTCTCCCTCTCTGGCAAGTGCACAAGCCCTCTGACAAAACGAAAACTAAAACAAACCCCACCAGTGATCCTGATAAATTCTGTAATTCGAGAACCCATCTTAAAGGAAATACAGAAATCTCTCAACTTTCCTGTGTCTCTGAAGCTAATCAGCAAATTCAAGATTCTAAAATACATTTAAATTATGCTATTTTAAACAACTGTTCGGCATAGTAACTTAATGTAAATGCCTTTAAGAAGTAATGTTTAGTAGGCCAGCTGGTGGCATGGTGATTAAGGTGACTGCATTCCATATGGCCGAATGTGAGGTTTGAGTAAGGTTCAAGTCCCAACCCAGTGGCTTGAGAAACATTCCAAGTGCCTGTGCATGCATGCTCCAAACCCTGAAAGGAGTGAGAGACAGAGGAGAAAGGACTGTGGCATGGCCATCTCCTGTGGGGACTGCTTTCTCATTTTCTCACTTTCTGTCTCTCACCAGCGAGTACACACACCTCTAACCAAAAAAGGGTAATGTTTATGTCTTTGAAAAATTGGTTTGCTTTACCTTAAACTTAAAAGTTACATTTTATTGTCTAAATTCACATAATGAGTTCTAGTATGTTTTACTATAATGAATTTATTCCTTGATCCAAATTCAGCACTATTATTTTATTAGTGTTGTCAAAAATCTGTGCAAGACATGCTCAAACATATCCTGTGGAAAACTAAACCCTAAACCTGCTATTCTCTGTGCTGCCCCCTGCTGATTTGTAAGGCAAACTTCATCTACTAAAAGCTATACCATACAGTAGTCCCCAGGAAGATGACAGTTTGATGAAATAATTCATGCCAGATGAATAAACTATCAGCTCATCTGAAAGAAGCAAGAAAGCCAGTTCTGGGCTGCCCTGAATTTGAAACCGACCTGCAACTCCTACTTGGTGTGTGGCATATCCTGGTAATCTGCTGGGCCCTTCTCCCAGCCACAGTGTCAGTGTCGAAGAATCTGACTCCGCGTGGTGAAAGCAGAAGCCCAGGGAAGCAGCAGGGGCAATCAATCGACTTTGGAGGATGGGAATGTGCAGCCACACAGCGATCCTACCTTGTGATTTCCACTGCTGAATCGCTGCTGAAATGTAGAAGATAAAATATGTAAATGTCTTCCAGTATGATGACAGGAATAAATTAAAATTCAGTTCAGGGTGTCGCCACCTCCAGGAAGCCATCCTTAAACATGTACTTCCCTCAGCAGTTAACTCTCTAAAAAGAGAGCCAATAACGTCCTGTTCATGGACAAATAAAGTGATTTAAACAAATAAAGTATGATTTTACTGCTGCTGCTTTCAGCGTCCTTATCTCCATAGACAATTACATACTTCTATTTGCTCTCCCTCTAAGAGTTGACTCTTGGAACCAGCAGGTGGTGTAATGGGAAGGTGCTGGACTTGCACATGGCCGACTGCAGTCTGAGACTCACACCTGGCAGCCTGAAACTCACATATCGTCTACACCATATCTTTCACTGAATCATCTTAGACATGTTGCTATGTCATTATAATTCTTTTAATTCTCATCTAAGTATATAACAAGTTACCTAATTAACCTTCTACTTCTGGACATTCAAATTGTTTCTAATTTTTATTAAAAATAACACCATGATGAACATCAGGACAGGTTTTATATCTTTAACTTCTTTAAACTCTCTTAACACTTGACAGTGAGCCAGGGGAAAAGGCTAATATTTATTTAAACCTTACTAAGTTACTGAAATATTTTACATACATTATGTCATTAAGTGTTCATAACCACAAAAGACAGGTATTATTATCTTCATGGGTGGAGAAATGAATATTTCAGTTTAAGTTGTTAGAAAAACTTCTACCTTTTTCTCTATCCACTATCTCATTTAATCTTTTTTTTTTTTTTTTTTTTTTTTTTTTTTTTTTTACTATAGGGCACATGTGCTTGCCAGTCAGACAGAGAGAGACATAGAGACAGAAAGTGAGAAATCACCCCCAAGGGGGGATGGTCACGCCGCAATCCCTTCTCCTCCATTCTCCCGGGATCTTGGGCACGCACACACATGCGCCCAGCGTGAGTTTTAAGCCACCGGGTTCGAGACGCAAACCGCGGTTGACTACCTGGGAGTCCAGCGACATAGCCATTACTCTAACTGCTGGTTCCCCCCAGCGTGAGTTTTAAGCCATGGGGTCTGGGACGCAAACTGTGGTCGACTACGTGGGAGTCCAGCGACATAGCCATTACACTAACTGCTGGTTCCCTATCTCATTTAATCTTAACAATATCCCTGTAAACTGTGTGTCTCTTAGGAGGCTTGATTATCTATTGAATGGTTAATTTCCTTTCCTTCTCCTCATCTATATACAATAGTAAGCCCTTTCTTGCTAAAAACCCATATTCTTGGGGACCAGCAGATGGTACAATGTTACTTTGCTGGACTCCCATGTAATCAACAGTGGTTTGAGTCCTGGACCCAGCAACTTAAGATCCCAAGATTGTGCCCAAGAGCCCAAGAGGAGAAGGGACTGCAGCATGGCCATCCCTTCTAGGGGTGATTTCTCGCTTTATGTTTGTCTTTCTCAGTCTCTCTGGTGAGTGCATGCACCTTACAGCAAAGATCTCTAAAAGAAACAAAACCCACATTCTCTGCCTCTGGGAATGCCAGTGAACACAGTGGGTTTTTAATAAAGACTTCTTGAGGGCAGCAGTTAGCATGGTTAAGGCACTGGATCCCACATGGAGAACTCCTCAGTTCAAGTCCCAGACCTAGCAGCTTGAAAAACATGCTGAGAATGTCTGTGTGCATGCCCCAAATTCCAGGAAAATGGAGGGCAATGGACTGCAGTGTGGCCATCCCTCCCAGGGGGTGATTTCTCACTTTGCCTCTCTCTGTCTCTCTCCAGTGAGCACATGCACCTATGGCAAAAACAAACAAACAAAAAAAGAAACGATAAAGAGCTGGAGAAGTGACTTACTGTCTCTGTACATTATCTTTAAAATGGGGACAATAATAGTATCTGCCTCACGGGGTTGTCATGAGGATTAAATGAATTAGTATTTGTAAAGTTCTTAAAATGGTGTCTTATCACTTAGTGCAAAAGAATTTTATTTAAAAAGATAGAAGTGTATGGTACTACAGTTTTAAAATAAGTTTCATGTGGGGTCACCAGGTGGTGGAGGATAAGGCGGCTGGATCCCACATGTCCGACAGCACAGTTGAAGTCCTGACCTAGTGGCTTGAAATTCATGCTGGGCACACAGATATGTGTGCTAAAAATTCTTTTTATTTCCCTAGAGGTTTTTGCAATAGGGCACATATGCTCACGGAGGTGAGGGGTCAGTCAGTGAGAGGGAAAATGAGAAATCACCCCCATTCCACTGGGGAGATGACCACGCTGCAATCCCTTCTCTTCTGTATTTCTACTAGAATCTACAGGAAGCATGCACAGGCACCCAGCATGATTTTCAAGCCACTGGGTCTGGAACTCAAACTGTGTTTGGCCATGTGGGAGTCCAGCGACATAACCACATCATTTGCCCTGAGTCCCCAAAATTGTGAGAGGAAAATGAAGGGACCAGCAGTTAGCATAACGGCTATGTCGCTGAACTCCCATGTAGTTGACTGCGGTTTGGGTCCCGGACCTGGTGGCTTAAACTCATGCCGGGCGCGTGTGCGTGCATGCCCAAGATCCTGAGAGGAGAATGGAGGAGAAGGGATTTCTGTGTGGCCATCCCCCCTGGGGGGTGATTTCTCGCTTTCTGTCTGTCTGTCTGTCTGGTGAGCGCACGCGCCCTATAGCAAAAACCTCTCCAAAAAAAAAAAAAAAAAAAAAAAGAGAAGGGACTGTGGCCTTACCATCCTCCCTGGAGGGTTATTTCTCACTTTCCCCCTTTCTCTCTCTCCAGTGAGTACATGTGCCTTACTTCAAAAATTTAAAAAATTAGTTTCATGTAATTTATCTTTGATTACCACATCTATCCAGTAATTGGTATTGTTCACATAAGCAACCTAAGGAAAACGTTTCTTGTAGCAATTTGTTTCCTGCTCCTGTTTGGCTAAATGTGTGGCAGAACTTGGGATTTGAACTGTGGACATGTGTTTGCAAATCCAACTTGTTTCCTGCTGTTGACTGGGACAGTGCTTTGATAACCTGTTTGGTCACTGATAAGTATCAGTGTGTGTAATAAACACACATGTGTAATAAACACACGTGTCTACTCACATAAATGTAAACATATCAGGATGAACTGATTCGATTCTCCTACAAGAGATTTGTGGGCGTCTAAGCGGCCTCCTCAGTGATTATCCACATGGAGTTCAGAAATGAGGATGAACGGCTTGTTATATCTATGACAGAGAGGCTATTTGCCATTTTGCTCCCTAGCATAAGGATGATTTGAAGCTTCCTGTTAGTGTGAGAGGAACTTTGTCATTGAACATCCCTGCTCTCTCTTCTGTAAGATCCTAAGACCTTCAGGAACAGTTTGAAAAACAGGCCCCAACAAAGCCAGGGCGTCTCCCAAAGTGAAGGCTCCTCCATCCATGCTGTCTTACTGGCGGGCTCAAAGCGAGTGTTTTCTTACTGAGACTAAAATGCCCTGCACCCTCCCTGGTTAATCCTAAAGGACACTGGCTCTACAGGTGGCGCCAACTCTGGTTACTGCTCCAACCACTCCTTCCCTATCTGACAGCTCAGAACCTTTCCGCTGGACTCCTTCCTTGCCCAGCACTAAATTAGACTCTGAGATGCTTTTGTTGTGGGCAAAGTGCCCAGCAGAGCCAAGGCTCTGCAAATAATAATGCTAGGTTGAGAAAACTGAAGTCTGTATCTCCCCATCACAGCAAAGAATGGAGGGATAAGGAGGCAAGCCAGGCACGGGGTTTATTGAGATAGACATACACAGAGCGACGGGGCCAGTGCCAAGGGAGGCAGGCAGGTCTGAGAGACCTGTCCCACACACAGACCCCACCAGTGCCAAGGGAGGCAAAGGGCCCCTTCTTTCCAGGGTCCCCTTTTATCCGGTTTCAGATCCTTGGTCCATCTAGAGTATGTGCCCTTAGACCGCCTCTACCCTGCCAAATTCTCTTTTAGCCGGTTCCTCATTCTTTCATCTTGTAGGTCTCATGCTGCAAGAAGTTGTTTTGAGTCAAAATACAGTCATAGTCCCCCAGCGTTTCTCTGCGGTGCTCCAGGCTGGTTTCGCGATCCCCACCTCCCTAACCAAGGTTATGATCCCTGCAAGTCCTAACAATGCGGAGAGACTGACAAGCGTACGGAGCCTAAGTCTGCGGCAGACGCCGCGCTAGGAACTGGAAACGCACATCCAGTAGACCCTCAGCAACGCCTCGGCTCCTGCAACCCCGGTTAAGGGATGAGGAATCGGTACTTCTCGAAGGTCACTGTAGAAATCAGGGCTGTCGATCCCAAACTCCGGGATCGTCACCATTTCACCCAAAACCTCAGGACTTCCCAGCTAAAGGCAAAAGAACCGGAGAGAATGGAGCCGGGTCACACGAAGCCCTTCCCTTCCCTCCCGGCTCATACTTGGCTGGTGCACAGAGCGACTCGGGGGTAGTGCTCGCGGTTATTTCCCGAGGAAGACTTAGGAGCCCGAAAGCCCCTCGGCCCAGGAGCACTTGCCCTGCAAGGCTCTCCGGAAGGCGGCGGCGTCCAGGCCGTC